GGGGTGGAGCAAAGTCGCCATAATGAGAGTATGACACTCGAGTGCCTCGTTTTCGTAGGTCTCTAGTTTCTTGATCATTTTGACATACATCGGATGCATTGGGTGACCTCGGTTGCAGGTATCCTCCTTATTTTTCAATTCTGAGATTATTTTATAATAGTTTGGTAAGATGAAAGCACCGGTAGGACCATCGCCCTCCATAAGTTTGGTCAGGCGGTTGAATGGCTGAAAAAAACAAATGAGCATTTCAGATAAAACCTTGTATATAATAATAAAAAGGACTTACTTCTAATTCTTCATTCAGTTCATTAATCATCGCCCATTCCTTCTTTGTGAACTGGATCTCCTTGAAGTGACCGAGCTTCTTGGGATTTTCCTTGCGGCTTGATTTGGACCGTTGTTGTTTATATTTGTCATACTCATCATGGAGTATTGCATCAATGACCTAGATTGGCAAATATTAATCAACAAGTTTTGTAGAAAGATGGATAAATAACATACTTCTCTGGCTTCATAGGCACGAGTTCGGCTTTCATATATTATATTCCAACGGATACCATAGCCAGCAATCAGATTTTTTAATCCTTTTCCAGCTGCTCGTCGCTCAAATTCCTGTCTCCAGGCACACGATCCGGTAATTTTCTTAACTACAAAGTCCAACTATGTACATCATTTAAACTTGTCAGTAGGTCACTCAAAAAAAATATCAGAGATGTAATCACTCACTGCCGTAACCAAATCATTCAAGTCATTTGAATTGTTCCTGTTGGCCTTTGAGGAAGATTCTTTTTGACTGTCTTTCGCACCCTTGTTGGCCTCCTGGGATTCATCTGTATCATCTTCGTCATCATCATCCGATTCGGCGTCGTCTTCTTCGGTGTGATCACTTCCGGCTTCACTGTTGGAATCGCTGTCTTCATTGTCTCCTTCATTTCCATCTTCATTCTCCTCCGTGATTTTTGGCATCGTATTTGAGTAGGGAAAAGAACCTAAGAACACCTTTTTCATTTTTGGTGGAGGCGGCGATT